ACTTGAGCCACAGTGAGACTTCCAGCTTTTTCTGCTTATGTGGTGCTAAGGAATCGAACCCAGGGCCTCATTCATGCAAGGCAAGCACTCTACCACTGAGCCACCTTCCCAGCACCAAAGAAGTGTATCTTATATCTCATACTAGAAATAAACTTTTTAAAAAATATTCTAGTGGGGTGCCGGTGGCTCACACCTGTAATTCTAGCTACTCAGGGGGCTGAGATCTGAGGATCATGGTTCACAGCCAGCCAGGGCAAGAAAGTCCGGGAGACCCTTATCTCCAATAATGGTAATAGCACTGTGGCTCAAGTGGTAGAGTGCTAGCCTTGAGCTGAAGAGCTGAGGGACAGCGCCCAGGCCCAGAGTTAAAGCACCATGACTGACAAAAAAAAAAAAATCTATGCTGGCACTGGTGGCTCATACCTGCAATCGTAGTTATTAGGGAGGCTGAGATCTGATGATTTAGGTTTGAAGCCAGCCTGAGCAGGAAAGTCCCTGAGATTCTTATCTCCAATTAACTACCAAAAAAAATCTGGAAACGGAGCTGAAGCTCAGGTGGCAGAGCCTTGAGCTCTGCTTTGAGCACAAAAAGCTCATCAGGAACAGCACCCAGAATCCAAATTCAAGCCCCAGGACCAGCAATGAAAAATAAATTAAAATTCTAAAAGTGGGCACCCAGTGGCTCACACCTATAATCAGCTACTCAGGAGGCTTAAGTTTAAGATCACCTTATGAAGCTAGCCTGGGCAGGAAAGTCCATAAAACTTTTATCTCCAATTAACCACTAAAAAGATGCAAGTGAAGGCCAGGCTCTGGTGTAGCTACTCAGGAGGCTGAGATCTGAGGCTCGCGGTTCAAAGCCAGTCAGAGCAGGAACAGCTTCCCAGAGACTCTTATCTCCAATTAACCACCAGCAAACTGGAAGTGGCACTGTGGCTCAAGTGGTAGAGCACTTGCTTTGAGCTGAAGAGCTCAGGGACAACACCCAGACCCAGAGTTCATGCCCTATGACCAACCAAAAACCACCCCCCAAAAAACCAAAAAACAAAAAGCCAAGATGGAAGCGGAGCCCAAGGTTGGTAGAACACCAACTTCAGAAAAAAAAAAAAAAGCTAAAGGACAGAGCCCAGGTCCTGAGTTCAAGCCCCAGTACCAGCATTAAAAAAAGAAAGAAAAAAAAAAGAAAATGGTCTGGGAATGTGGCTTAGTGGTAGAGTGCTTGCCTAGCATGCATGAAGCCCTGGGTTTGATTCCTCACTACCACATAAACAGAAAAGGCTCTGGCTGGGAAGGTGGCTCAGTGGTAGAGTGCTTGCCTTGCAGGCATGAGGCACTAGGTTCGATTCCTCAACATGACATAAGCAGAAAAATCTGGAAGAAGTGCTGTGGCTCAAGTGATATAGTGCTAGTCTTGAGCTGACGAGTTGAGGGACAGTGCCCAGTCCCAGAGTTCAGGCCCCACGACCAAAAAAAAAGGGGGGGGGGCCGGGAAGGTGGCTCAGTGGTAGAGCGCTTGCCTTGCATGCCTGAGGCCCTGGGTTCCATTCCTCAGCACCACATAAGCAAAATGAAAAAAGCCGGAAGTGGCACTGTGGCTCAAGTGGTAGAGCGCTAGCACTGAGCACAAAGAAGTTCAGGGACAGTGCCTAGGCCCCGAGTTCAAGCCCCAGGACTGGAAAAAAAAAACATAAACGGAAAATATCTAAACAATATTTACTGACAAATGCTTTTCCAAGAAATAATGAAATAAAAGTACAAGTCCCAGCACAGTAAAAAGAATTCATTTCCTCAAATAAAAAAAAAAAATTTGTTTTCTCATCTCCTCTTACCAGCAGACACATTCCTTCTCTATTCTTTCACTTATATGCCTTTTTACTTCTTCATCTATGCTGACGTTTCTTTATCCAGTTTCCCTTCTATGTCGTTGACATGGATTTTTCTAGTGATCTCATATTATTAAAGAAGCACATTGAAATTAAGCAAATAACTCTCAGGAAGAGTAAAACAGTGAAATTAAAGGAATTAAAGAGTAGCTAATTACAGCTTTTGTAAAATGCAGTTAATTATGAGATAACCTTATTCCTTTAAAAAACACAATTAAGACACTTTCAATTTGGGGGAAAAAAAGCTAGTGATTAGTTATTTCCCCTAAAGGAACTAAATTTATTCAAATAAAACTAACAAATCTTAGAGAAGACTGATGAACAGATAGAAAATTCTCAGTGTCTCAAGTACCAAAAATTTAGTTACATAGAAAGCACTAACATACCTAAGACTATCTGAAAAACAGTGTAAGTAACTAATAATGTAAGAAATTATACATTTCACTTAAGCTAAAATTATTGACAGAGGTTTCTAAATTATTATAAAGAAGCTGGGCGTTGGTGGTTTACGCTTGTAATCTTAGCCACTCAGGAGCCTGACATCTGAAGATTTCAGTTTGAAACTAGCCCTGACTGGAAAGTCCATGAGATTCTTTATCTCCAATTAACCACCGAAAAACAGGAAGTGGTGCTGTGACTCAAAGTGGTACGGCACTAGCCTTGAGCACAGAAGCTCAGGGACAGTGCCTAGGCCCCCTTAAGCCCCATGACCAATTTAAAAAAAAAATGACAGGTAATATCTTTACTTCCAATAATTACTAGCCTGATAGTCTCAAGTTTTAAGACATTCTCAATTTTTTTTTAACTTTTATATCATTTTATTTCTTTTTTTTTTTGGTCAGTTGTAGGGGCTTGAACTCTGAGCATGGGAGCTGTCCCTGAGCTCTTCAGCTCAAGGCAAGTGCTCTACCATTAAGCCGAAGCACCACTTTCCGTTTTCTGTGGTTAATCGGAGATAAGAATCTCATGGACTTTCCCGCTCAGGCTGGCTTTGAACCATGATCTTCAGATCTCAGCCTCCTGAACAGCTAGGATTACAGGCGTGAGCCACCAGCACCCTGCAACTTTTACATCATCTTTATTCTGAGCCAACTTGCATGTGTATCATTACCCCCATCACGTCAAACTACTGTAGGAATCATATTCCTTGTTATATATGTGAAAACTCATACTCAACAATGAGTTCTGGGTTGCAAAAGAGGATTTACTGTTTGCACCTGTAAGTCTTTGTTGCAACATTCTCAACTTTTAAAAGTATACAGGACTTAAATATATTCTCCTTACTCTTTTTTTTTTTGGGGGGGGGTCCAGTCGTGGGGCCTGAACTCTGGGCCTGGGCGCTGTCCCTCAGCTCTTCAGCTCAAGGCTAGCGCTCTACCACTTGAGCCACAGCGCCACTTCCGGCTTTTTTCTTTTTGCTGAGGAACTGAACCCAGGGCCTCAGGCATGCAAGGCAAGTGCTCTACCACTGAGCCAACTTCCCAGCCCTCTCCTTACTCTTTCATATATTGTAATTCTCCATGGTGAAAAAAATTATTTTGGAGTCTTTAACTCTTCATTTCCTGCATGGAAAGCAAGAAAGGTTTCTTTCATTTTCTATTTCTCCCTACTTAACTCTGTTACATATAAAAAAATCCTTGCTAAAACTTTCACCTTGTGAAATACCTTTCATAATTAGATCTCAAGAACCTGTGATTCTTCCTGGTAACTAGGAAAGTGAGGGAAGCCTTCACCCAAACCCTGATGACAAAAACTGATGAGGCTGAGCTAGGAGTTGAGCCTAACAAAAATTGTAATTATTTTTTTCTTTAGTCAGCATCCAGCTGGCTGAAATAGACTAATTCCTCACCTCCCCTTGAAACTTAATGTGTCCTACAGTGGACTAAGTTCTCTGCCCTAAGGCTTGTTCATAACATATGAATATCATCAAGAAAAAAAAACAAACCACGAAAAGGAGATAGCTTTGGTCCCAGGATATGCAGGAGAAAAATCAAGTGTTGGAAGAGGAAATGCACCATTATTTTACAATATATTCACTTTACCCACAAATTCTCATATAAACATTGAAAGCTAAAAAAAAACTACCACTTGGGAAAAATTTAAGATATATACACTCCTTCATAAAGAGAAGACCTGTAAGGAAAAACAAAAATATACTTAAGATCTAGAAGAATTCACCTGCAACACACTTGTGACTCACACCTGTAATCCTAGCTATTAAGGAGGCTGAGATCTGAAATCAAGGTTTGAAGCTGGCCATGACAGGAAACTAAATAAAACTCTAATCTCCAATTAATCACCAAAAAAAGTCACAAGTGGTGCTGTGGCTCAAGTGATAGAGATGCAACTTTGAGCAAAAAAGCTAAGAGGCCAAGGCCTTAAGTTCAAGTCCTAGTACTAGCACACACACAAAAAAAATCCCAGAAAAACAAAAAATAATTCACCTAAAGTATACAAAAGCTGCTCAATCTAGGGTGTATGAAAAATCTCCCAATAAGCAATTTAAAAATGGATTCCAAAAAGAACTTAAGTAGTAAAGTTTCTTTACTCACATTATAGCACCTTGAAGTAAGTCTTGTACCTTTCTTTAAAAAAAAAACCTACAATCATTTCAATAGATGTCATATACATTCATTTTAGTGGATATAATACAAAGAATTATTCCTAAACACTACAACCATCAGTCTATAGCAAAGTAGATTTTACCCTTTGTTTTCCAAAGGGTATTCTGAAGTGACTATAGAGTTTAAACCTAGGACTCTGAGTTTGCAAGATATACTTGCTGGGTTACAAGCACTTGAGTCATACATCTAGCTCTGCTTTTTGCTGGTTATTTGGAGATGAGAGTCTCAAGGAATTTTATTTATTTATTTAGCTTTAACTGGCTTTGAACCTAAATCCTATCTCAGCCTCAGAGGAACTAGGACTACAGGCATGAGCACTGTGTTTGTTGGCTTGTTTTTAACTTAGCATCTACCGCAAATATTTCAAAACTAAAGTAGGAGTTTTGATTGTAAGTCCAAGACTTCAAAGTTACCACTCTCTTCATTGCTATCTAATTAATAATCTCTGATCAAATTAAGATTCAAAAAAAAAGCTGCAAGGATTTATTCATACCTCTTTCTTCCTCATGTTTTTTGGCAGATGCACTTTTAGGTCTTCCTCTTCCTCGTCTGATATGATCTGAATGGCTGTTACTTCGAGATCTCTTTCTGTTTTCTAAATCTTTATTTACTGTTGAATTTATCTTCTCTTTCCTAACTCTCTCTGTTCGCCTCCTCTTGGCCTCATGCTTGTTTTCTGTATGGATGAATAAAAGTGATATATTTTAGGGCTTACCAAGAACTATTTGCTCAGTTCTCATTGTTTTCCTTTTACTTTCTAAATGGCAGTATGTTTCCTGGAATATTTTTTAAAACTACATCTATATATGTTCCCACACTCATATAGATAAATAACAGAATTCAGTCACATAATACATGAAGTAGGAGAAATCTTGGCTAAGAAGTTTCTTCATTTGACAGCTTTAATTTCATTCCATACAAGTTCAAACAATTTCATAACAACCTTTCTTGCCTTTTAACTCCTGTTTCCAGACTTTAAATGGAGAAATATTAGAAAAGGAAAACAAAAAAACTCATTCCTTTTTGCTTTCTTCCTGAATTTCATATTGAAATGTAAAATATGCAGAAGAAAAACTGACCTTAGACATAGAATATCAAAGTTACAATAAAAGTGAAACAGAACATCTACATATTTTTATAACATTGAGTGGTTTTCACTTAAGCCATAAATAATAACTGACATAAAAGAATGTTGTTACATTAACTGGAATAACAACAGAGGGACTTAACAACAAGCTAACCTCCCACTCTAAACAAACCCAAATGCTGTAGAGAAACAAAATTTTTTTTTTTTTTTTTGGGATCCGGTCGTGGGGACTGAACTCTGGGCCTGGGCGCTGTCCCTCAGCTCTTCAGCTCAAGGCTAGCACTCTACCACTTGAGCCACAGCGCCACTTCCAGCTTTTTTCTTTTTGCTTATGTGGTGCTGAGGAATTGAACCCAGGGCCTCATGCATGCAAGGCAAGCGCTCTACCACTGAACCACCTTCCCAGCCCGAGAAACAAAAATTTAAAAACAGCAACAAATAGTTAATACTTATCTGATTTCAAAAGCAAAAAAGAATTCCCCACATGCCTAAAATCATACAAGTAAAAGGCCAAAAGAAATAGGAAAATTCATATCCCAAAAACCAATCCAAATATTTGAAAAGATATACAATACGTCTGATAGGCTACTGTAAAAAATAAAAGAGCGAGCCAGGTGCTGGTGGCTTATGTCTATAATCCAAACTATTCAGGAGGTTGAGATCTGATAATCCCAATTCAAAGCCAGGTTAGGCAGGTGAGTCCATGAGAGTCTCTTATCTCCAATTAACCACCAAAAACTAAACAGAAAACCAAAAGTGGAGCTGTAGCTCAAGTGGTAGAGCACCAACCTTGATCAAAAAACTGCTCAAGGGCAATGCCCAGGCCCTCAGTTCAAGATTCAATAGACACATAAACAAACTAGTGGCTAGGCATCTAGGAACTTACCTAGATTCTCAGCAATCTAGAAGCTGAGGCAACAAACTGTCAAGGCCAGCCCAGTTATAAAGTGAGGCAAGGCTTGCAGGTGTGAGAGAGGGGAGTAAAACAGGAACAATTATCTCTAAATATTATATTCTTTTTTTTAAATGCCAGTCATGTAACTTGTACTCAAGGGCTGGGCTCTGTACCTGACCTTTTTGCTCAAGGCTAGTGCTCTAACACTTGAGCCACAGCTGCACTTCTGGCTTTTTTTTGGTAGGTTTTTTGTTTTTTGTTTTTTGTTTTTGGGTCTGGTCATGGGGCCTGTACTCTGGGCCTGGGAACTGTCCCTCAGCTCTTCAGCTCAAGTCTAGTGCTCTACCACTTGAGCCACAGCGCCACTTCCGGCTTTTTTCTTTTTTCTTATGTGGGGCTGAGGAATGGAACCCAGGGCCTCAGGCATGCAAGGCAAGCGCTCTACCACTGAGCCACCTTCCCAGCCCTTTTTTGGTAGTTTTTTTGGAGATAAGATTCTCACAGACTTGCCTACCCCAGCTGGCTTCAAACTGCAATCCTCATATTTTAGGATTACAAGAATGAGAGACAACAGCACTCAGCTTATTGTGTTTTTTTAATTTTTTATTTTATTGTAAAGATGCTGTACAGAGGGCTACAGTTATGTGAGTGAAGCAATGAACGCACTACTTACAGATCATCGTTAGCCCTCCCCTTGTTGTTGTCCCACTATCCCTTCCCTCCCCCTAGTATTTTTTTTGTCGGTCGTGGGGCCTGAACCCTGGGCCTGGACACTGTCCCTCAGCTCTTCAGCTCAAGGCTAGTGCTCTACCACTTGAGCCACAGTGCCACTTCCAGTTTTCTGGTGGTTTATTGGAGAAGTCTCACAGACTTTCCTGCCCCCGTTGGCTGTGAACCGTGATCCTCAGATCTCAGCTTCCTCAGTAGCTAGGATTATAGGCGTGAGCCACCAATGCCCGGCTTCCCCCTAGTATTCTTTAAGAAATGATTAATTGTAAGTTTGAGATTCATCATACACTAGATAATAGAACATTTTATTAATGCAGACAATCCAATCATAGGCTTGTTAAAAGACCTAGAGTCTAACTTGAAGAGGTTCCCATTGACTTTAATAGTACAAGAGGACAATCCATAAGAACAGTAACTAAAAAATAAATAAAATAAAAAAATAAAAAAAGAACAGTAACTATACAATCTGAAATATACCAGATATACTTAAAAGTCCCAAGTACATGACACTGAAAGTATAAACTACTTGGCCATAATAGACACTAAAACCAAACAAAACAAAGCTCATTATATTGAACACTTGAAGAGTAAAGTATGTTTTTGTTTTTTCTTTTCAAACTGTCCCATTCATTCAGAACCAAAGAATAGAAGAACAGGATACCTTTAGTTTTGTCTTCCTCCAACAACTGACCAGACTTCATATTACACAATTACAATTATGTGCAATGCTTCCTATGCTTACTGTTTTTTTTTTTTTTTGGGGGGGGGGGGTCCGGTCATGGGGCCTGAACTCTGCGCCTGGGCGCTGTCCCTCAGCTCTTCAGCTCAAGGCTAGCACTCTACTACTTGAGCTACAGCACCACTTCTGGCTTTTTTCTTTTTTCTTATGTGGTGCTGAGGAATGGAACCCAGGGCCTCAGGCATGCAAGGCAAGCGCTCTACCACTGAGCCACCTTCCCAACCTAATGCTTACTGTTTTTAAGCAGTCATTGAACACATATATGTTTAAAGTAACTGCATGTGACTAACTCATAAGCCTGGTAAGATTCTCTTTATATTGAATGCAAATAATTGTTCCAACAACTCTTCTTGGCTCTATTAAAGATGTCACATTTAGTTAATAAATAAAGAAGGAATAATAGCTGGGAGTCAGTGACTCACATTTATAATCCTAGTTACTCAGAGACAGATCTAGGGATCAACATTTGAAGCCAGCCCAAGCAGTCTGTGAAATTCTTTATCTCCAATTACCACAAGAGCAGAAGTAGAGCTGTGGCTCAAGTGGCAGAGTACCAGCCTTGAGTGAAAAAGCTCAAGGACAATGCCAAGACCAAATTCAAGGCCCAATACCCACACAAAAAAAGGAATAACAGAATCAGAGTATCACAATTTTCCATCTGTAAGAAAAAACTACCTTAATTATGAAATTCAACAGGCACTTCACTTTAAATCTTAAAGCTTCTCTAACAACAACAACAACAACGAAAATTCAACAAAGAGGAGCTGTGGGTCATGAGCCCCTGCCTGAGAATCTTGAGGCCCTGAGTTCAAATCCAGCCATTCTTATCACCTTGGATGTTTTCTCTTCCCCCAGGCTATTGTTCAGTTTATAAGCCCAGAGAGCTCCTCTCTGTACCCATTGCTTTCTTTTAACCTTTACAGATCCACAGCATTAAACATTATTGCTACAATAGCTCCAAAGTTTATAGCTTGTGCCCTGATAATATCCTTAAACTGTTAACTTCATTTGAATGTCTGGGAAAGTCTGTGACACTCTTATCTCTAATTATCCACCAGAAAACAGGAAGTGGCGGTGTGGCTCAAAGTGGTAGAGTGCTAGCCTTGAACAAAAGAGCTTAAGGACAGTACCCAGGCCCAGAGCTCAAGCCACGACTGACCAAAAAAAAAAAAACAAAAAAAACTGGCATACCTACTAGTCCAGTGCCCCAAGTCTATAATCCTAGCTACTTGGGAGGCAGAGATCAGATCAAGATTTGAGGCCAACACAGTTTTTGAGACTCCATCTTGACCAATTGTTGAGTTTGGTTGCATTTGGCTGTTACACCAGCTAACACAGGAAAGCATAGGGGGTAGGGTTAGTCTCCAGTACTTGTCATCCCTAGTGACACAGGGAAACACCATAGGAACTAAGTTGGGCTGGGAGATTCAATACCCCGTAATGTGCTGCCATCTTGATTTCTAATAATAGGGTTCATTTTGAGACTCAAGCTCATGGTAAATATTTCCATCCTATCTTGTGTGTATTATATATATAGTCTCTTTGTTCCATCTACATAAAATCTCTTCCTAAGGATTTCTTTTATCCTCAAGAGTAAAACTTTAATGTCTCAGTCTTAAAACTGGCATACCTAGCCGGGCGCTGGTGGCTCACGCCTGTAATCCTAGCTACTCAGGAGGCTGAGATCTGAGGATCGCGGTTCAAAGCCAGCCCGGGCAGAAAAGACTGTGAGACTCCTATCTCCAATAAACCACCAGAAAACCGGAAGTGGCGCTGTGGCTCAAGTGGTAGAGCCCTAGCTTTGAGCTGAAGAGCTGAGGGACAGCGCCCAGGCCCAGAGTTCAGACCCCATGACCAGACCCCCCCCCCCAAAAAAAAAATCTATCCTAAAGTTCATAAGGAATTAATCCGGAAAAAGTATAATATTAAAAACCTCATATTTCCTTTTCCATAAAATTTACAACAAAGAAACAACAATCAAAACAGTTAAAATAGTATAGAACTGACAAAGAAAAAAGTAATGGAAGCATGGCCGCTCAAATGTAGAGCACTTGTCTCACAGATTTGAGGCTCTGAGTTCAAACATCAGTACCACCATGTATGCTCATGTATACAGCCAAACTATAGCAAGATATCACTTATAGTAATTGAGATACAAAAATAAAACAAAAACAAAATAACAAGTGTTGGGGAGAATGTGGAGAAATTGGAACTCTTAAGCACTGC